CTATTTCGTACTCGTTGGACTACGACGGTTGAAGTTGCAGCTCGTCCACTAAACCATCAAAAAGGTTGAAATGTTGATAATTATGAACAATAGTGCTATATTTCTATATCGTCCTTTGGTTTAAGTTAATAATCGAAAAACACTTTGATATACACCTGAACCACGATGCTCATGCCCGAATCTCTAACACCCGAGCTCGGGTCCATTGAGGTCAAGCTCAAGTCCACGGCGCCACGGGCCCAAGACCTAACGCCCAAACCCGGATTCATGACCCCGGTGCTAGTGTCCGGGTCCCTAGCACCTAGGCCCTCATCCATGGAGGCCGCGCCCGGGCCGGTGTCCATCGAGGTCACACCCGGGCTCAAGTCCATCAAGGCTGGGCTTGGGTCCCCGACGCCCCATTCCCGTGTCCATTGAGTATGGGTCCGGGACCTCAGTGCCCACGCCTGGGACCCCGGCACTCGGACTTGAGACGATATCCCGACCCAAGTCCCTAGTCTTGGGCCCAGGTCAATTCCATCTAGGCTAAGTTTTAGATGCCGGCGCCTGCCCAAGTCAATCAAAGCTAGGCTTGAGACCCCAGTGCCCGCAACCAAGTCCATCGAGGCTGGATCCTTGTCCATTGAGGTTGAGACCAGGACCATAGTCCCCAAGCCCAAGCCCCCAACTCTTGTGCTCGGGTCCAATGAAGCCAGGATCAAGACCTTAGAGCCCGGGTTTATCGAGGCTAGGCTCGAGTCCTGGCACCTGAGTCGAAGTTCATCGAGGTCGGACTCGAAACCCAAGTGCTCATAGCCAGTTCTTCAGCTGCCTATGTGCAAGTCACTAGCACCCGATAATTTGTGTCTATTTAGAAAATCAAATCAAATTTTCCTTACCAAACAATGAAAAATATTTTCCAGTTCATTTTCAGGTTTCAGCGAAATACCAAAAAATATTGTCGTTTTCCATAAATGTCACATTTTCCGAGAAATAAACGAAGTCTTAATATATCATCAATCATGTAGGCCTTATATGTCATATGTTATTCATTTAGCAAACATTTTTTTTTTGGTTAAAGCAAGTAGTATATAACTTTTCAACGCGCATTTTACAGCAAGTGAGGCCGAACACAAAAACCTCGTACCTGAAGAGACAAAGGTGTCCCGACAGTTAGAAAGGTGTTGCGGCAAACAAAGGAAGCACAAGAAGCGCTATACAGAGAAGGCTACCCGGCAGCCAACATAAAACACCAACAAAGACTAAAAAAGAGGGTCAGCTGAATATAGAATCAAATATGCCCCAACTGGCTTGAATCGTTCTGTTCCGAGGATTGTCTTGAACCGGCTTGAGAGAAAGGCCTTTGTCTCTAACTACCTTGGCAAGATGATTGCGGAGAGTAGGCATAAAAAGGGTGCTATTTCTGAAAAGGATATTATTCCGTTCAACCCAAATGAGATGGCACAATGCCCCAAGAGCAAATCGAGAGATACGGTGATAAAAGCTATCTCCACCAATGAAACGCATACCCCATCGGAGGTTCTCTTTCCAGGACCCATTACGCCATGAAAGATGACAATTAGAATCCCAATATTGCGCTAGGGAGCCCGTAACATTGCATCCAAAGAACAGATGGTCGACCGAATCAGGTCTAATGCGACAGAAGGCGCATAGACCTTCAGATATTCTATGATAGTTCAGAAGGAATACTTGCGTGGGAAGCCTATTAAGGGTCATCAACCACATCAAAAAACCATGGCGCGGTACAATATGACAGTCCCAGATGAAGGTGTCCCAGAAAATCGCTTGTCCTCTTGCCCGAACCAATTCCCAAGCCGAGGTAATAGAGAAAATACCAGACGAATGTTCGAGCCAGACAAAGTGGTCTGGTGTATCAGTATTAAGTATTGGGAGAGGAGATGCCCAAGAGTTGAATGATTGCAATACATTCGAATGGTGCCAATCCGAAGAAAGGAACTCACAAACCGAGGCCGAACGTGGGATACCCGAATAGAAAATATCCCTATCCGAGAAGATCAAATGAAGTGGGCCTTTTGGATGCCAAGAATCAAACCAGAAAGAAGCGGTCTTGCCATTACCTATTCACCATTTGAATTGCGATTGGAATGTCTGGCGTAAATCCAATATCTTTTTCCACGTCCAGGAGCAGAATGTCGGTTTGGACACAACCCATAAATTCTTTGATTTGAGGAAATTTGAGTGAATCCGTTTACACCATAGGGATTCTTTGTCCGTGAAGAGGATCCAAATATGTTTGAGCATAGCCGCTTGATTGCAATCAATGAGTCTACGAATGCCCAATCCGCCTTCTTGCTTGGGAAGGCATACCCGACTCCAGGATACCTTGGCCCCACCAACCCCTAAATCAGGACCTTTCCAAAGGAACTGTCTGAGAATCAGTTCTATCCTCGCTATGACCGAACGGGGGAGGGTGAAAATGGAGGCCCAAAAAACATGTATGGTGTGGAGAACAGATTTAATCAGCTGTAGGCGTCCCGCAAAAGAGAGAAACCGATGGGCCCAGGATCGAGCGCGAGCCGTAATGGAATTGACAAGTAATGTACAATCGGCCTTACTCAACCTAGAGGCAGATATAGGAACACCAAGATATCGAAAAGGTAATGTACCTTTGTGGTAACCGAAAGATTGCAGTATTTGGTCCCGCAATTGGGGTGTCCCTCCCGAGAAGAAGATTTCACTCTTGTTGACATCGGCTGGAGACCCGACCACCGAGAGAACTGGTCAAGGGCATCCTTCAGAAGTGCGGTCGATACCAGGTTTGCTTCCGCGAACAAGAGGACATCATCGGCAAAAAATAAATGCGTAAGTCTGGTTGCCTTACACCGCCAGAAAAATTTGAAGCCTGGGAGCTGAGTTTGAGCATTGAGAATGCCAGTGAATACTCCCATGACTAGTGTAAATAAGTAAGGAGATATGGGGTCCCCTTGGCGTATGCCTCTACCACTAGAGAAGAAACCATTGAGAGTCCCATTGATGGCAACTGAGAACTTCGGGGTGGTTACACACTCCATTAGGAGCTTGATAAACACTCGGGGAAATCCAAATGCTTGTAAGGTTCGCTGCAAGAAATCCCAGTCAACAGTATCGTATGCCTTTTGAAAATCTACCTTGATAGCACACTTGGGCGAATAAGGTTGGTGATGGAATCCGGCAAACAACTCTTGGGCAATAAGTATGTTGTCCCCTATTCTCCGTTTTTTAACGAACGCATTCTGCGGAGGGCTAATTATCGAAGGCAAAACCGATGCAATTCTGTTAGCCAGTATCTTGGTAATGCACTTGTAAATCGTATTGCAATAAGCAATAGGCCTAAAGTCATTCAAGGCCGAAGCATTGGGAACCTTAGGCACCAGTGTAAGGATGGTGGCATTGGTCTCCTTAAGAAGGGAGCCAGAAATGAAAAAATCATTAATCGCCAATATGACCGAAGGTCCAACTATTTCCCAGGATTCTAGAAAGAATTCCACATTAAACCCATATGGTCCCGGGGCTTTGCCCTTAGGAAGGGAGAAGAATGTGTTTTTGATTTCCAATTCAGTGACCTGCTGGGTAAGAAACTGTACCTGGTCCTTAGTGAGCGACTGACCAATCACTTCCTGGATATCCAAGGAAGAAGGCAGCTCACACGAAGAGCTGGGAGCAAGTAAATCCTAGAAGTGATTAACAATATGATTGTGGACAAGAGTCGGATCAGTAAGGGTAGCTCCATTGTCATCTGAAACCGAGATTATACGGTTAAGGATATGTCTTCTGTTGACATAATCGTGGAAATACTTGGTATTCCTATCACCTTCCTTCAGCCATTTGATCCTGGATTTTTGTTTAAAGAACGATTCCTCCTGGAGCCTAAGGGCCGTGAATTCCTGAAGCTGATCCTTCTCCAACTCAGCTAGGGACAGGTTTAACGGGTCAATAACCAGAGCATCTTGAGTTACGGACAAAGCCACTCTTGCCTATGTAGTGCGGCCCGAAATATCTGAAAACGAGTCCTTATTAAGCTGTTTGAGTCTTACTTTGAGTGTCTTCAGCTTGCGGCACAAGATGAACATAGGAGTTCCAGTGATCCGGGATTCCCATGTCTGCGAAACAATAGACCGAAAGGAAGGGTGAGACACCCAATAATTAAAAAACTTGAAGGGCTTCCCCGGACAGAGATGGAATCATAATCCGAACGATCATTGGAGTGTGATCGGACACTCCCCGGAGCCAAAAAGGAAGCCTCCGAATAGGAGAAGGTGCTACTCCACTTATCATTGACAAGAACTCTATCAATCTTTCTCTGTTTACAGGATGCACCAGAAGATGTCGACCAAGTAAAGCGATGGCCAACATATCTAAGATCATCCAATCTAGCTTGATCTAAACACAATGCAAGTTCATCAAAAACTGGGATCCAAGCATTGGAGCTGCCCATTCTATCCGAGTGGTCCCGAATGGCGTTGAAGTCACCAGCCACTAGCCAAGGCTCATCAGCAAAGAGTCATACTTGTCTGAACAAGATCAGTCCAGAGGGCCCGACGAGCAGTAAAAGTATGCTCACCATAAATTATAGACACATGAAAAGAGATGTTCATTGCCAACATACACATGCCCAAGTGAATAGTCTGAGAGGATTCTGAGCGAACATCTATTTGTACCACCTGGGGGTCCCAGCCAATCCAAATTCTACCCCGAGGAGAGGAATTATAATTAGATGTCCAAGACCAACCCGGAAGTAGCCCCATCGAGATGGCATCAAAAGAGTTTGGGTTGACCTTAGTTTCCAGGATCCCAATGCAAAAAAGGTTTTTAGATCTAACTAATGATCTAATCTCAGCCTGTTTCAAGGGGGCCATAAGGCCCCTAATATTCCAGACGGCAAAAAACATATGTTCAGGAAGAGGCGAGGTTACCTCTTCTTAGGGCGACCCCGTTTTCGAGCTTTAGGGTTGGCCTTCTTAGATGAATTAGGACTACTTCGAGGAACAGGCACCATCGATTCAGGCATGGGAGGGGCTTGAGGGGCTCCTGGTTGAGGGACGGGAATGCGATGGGGAATCATCGTCTGCATCGCTACCCACATCACTGGCTGTACCTGCTTCAGATTCCTCTGAATCAGCGAGATCGTCCGAAGAAGCGAGGGAGTTCAAAGCTGGATTGGGAGGAGGTTGAGAAGCCAATGGGGCAACAATGTTCCTGGGGGGAGGGGAACTCTGTCCTTGGTTTGAGGAAGATGCCTTAGCGGAGCCTTTTAATTGCACCCCAACTTGTCTTTTGCCAACAGTTTCCCATTTACCTTCGCCTGGAGTAGGGTCATCCTCTGTCTGAAAATCTTGAGCTGGAGGCTTCTGAATACCAGAAACATCTTGACTGGGAAGCGCACACTTGTGGCCAAACGTTCCACATATTGAGCAAGCTATAGGTCGCCATTCATACTCGATCTTAATGGACCAGGTATCATCATTGAGAATGACGTCGACTGAGTCGATCAGCTTCTGAGTTGCTTTGATCTGGATGCAAACTCGGGCAAATGAGATCATCCTCATCTTCTCAGTTTGGACATCAACATATAGGGGCTTGCCAATGGCACTAGCCACGGCACTGATGCCAGACGAGGACCAAAGGGCATAGGGGATGTTTCTCAGCTTGACCCAAACGGGGAGAGACTCATGCTGGTCTTTCTGCATCTTGAGATCCGGATGCCATTGCTGCAGGATCATGGGAACTCTAAGAATCGTTAGAGGACCGCTGTCGAGTATTTTCCGGCGAAAGGTGCTATCCGGGATATGGAAGAAGAAAAAGCCATCTCCATTTGCAAGAACATCCACCACTTGTGCTCCCCAAATGTTTTTGATTGCAGATTCAGTCATCTTGAATGGGCGTTTCTTCCCAACAAAATAGCCCACCAGGCATTCCTGTCATTTTGGGTTTGTGTCTCTAAGAATCTCCGGAGAAATTCTAACAATTGGTTTCCCATCTACAATAGTAGGTGGGATGAAAGAGAGATTGTAGCCTTTCTCTGCAGATTTTGCCACAGCCGCCCAAGATCTTTGGGTAGTCTGCGGAATTGGTTCCCGGGAAGGAACTTTAGCTGGTGATTGCCCATCATTTTGGCTTTGCCTTTCCAAAGCTCTGCCTTGCTGGTGGCTTGCTGATCCCCCACTAGTGGAATCAGCCCGAGCCAAGTTGGATGCATGCCTCACCCTACTACGCCCTCTACTTCGTTGGCGCTGTTTTGGATGAACCGGATGTGCAGAAGCAGAGCCCCCTACATTAGCATCAGGCAATTGAGATTTCTGTTTAACTATAGCCCCCGAAGTGAGCTGCATTAGATTACTAGGCGGAACATTGGACCCGACCACTGGGGTCTTTGATTGCTTGGTGCTTGCCAAAGGCAAGGATTGCGAGTGCCGAGGAGGCTCTATAGGAACGAGTTGCCCAGCCATGGAATCCTCATATCAAGAAATCCATATAGCAATGGAAAGAGGAAAACTCCTATCTAGCAACTCACAGCCAGCAGCTTAACCTCCCCGCAATTCCAGAACCCTTTCGGGTGAACAATCGCACTCAATGGCAATGAACAGTACCGACAGCAAAAATAGTCGAGCAAACCCAGATCTGTTTGCCCAGCCAAACGAGTGCACCGCACGGTGAGCCAGAGGAGTATATTTAGAAGTGTTACCTGGCGACCCTAGCCTTCGATTTCCAGAAGAATTGAACCAGCAGAACACCAGAAACGCATCAAACCCAGACGGGTGAACAGTATCCTCAAACGAGCAAACTCAGATCTGCTCGTGCAACCCAGAGAAAGCACTGTACGAGAAATCCAAGGAGTATATGGGGAGGATCACCTTGCGCCCCTATCCTCCAAATTCCAGACGAATCGGACCAAGCAAGACACCCAGAATCACAGAAGATTCAGACGGGTGTACAGTAAACGAGAACCAGACCGAGAGAGAACTTGGGCGCCTGCTATGAACAGTGCCCGAGGATTAGTGAAAAGTTTTTCTGTTCATTTAGCAAACATTCATATAATAAAAATACAAAAAAAATATTACATTGCATTTAGGATAATATATTGCACCACCTAAGTTTCCTATAGAATTACATATTTTAGGAAATCATGTAGTAATTAGGAAATTACCTGATTAGATTGAGATTTAATATAAATTATTTCCTAATTAAATTTAGGTCATCATATTTTTTAGGCAGTTTTCTATTTTAGCTTTTAAAGAAAATCTACAAAAAATAGCATGCATATCTCATATAGAAATAGTTTTATAATTCCTATGTCATATATTACATATTATTTAGTAATCATATACTGTAGGGCCATGTCATGTAAATTAATTATTGCATCTCATGCATTGCATATAATTTAATTTTAATTAAAATGAAAAAAAAATCTCACCTAATTAAATAATAGGGTTAATTCGTAGTTAATCCTAACTCGTGTCATTAAGATAGCATGTAGGTTACATTTAAGTCATTGATATAGCTTGCACGTCATTTAGAATTTCATTCTAATTCATTAATGCATGTTATTATAATTTAAATTAAATCATGCTCGTTATGAAAGAAAAATCCAAAAATAACTAATTGGCATTGCATTTAGGAATCATGTTTAGGTCATGCATTATTGTTTGGTTTTCAGTTAACATCTTGCTGAATACTTGGTGTACTGGACGATAATAAAGTCTCGCTTTTGCTTTGATACGAATGTATCAGGGTTGTTTGTCTTTTTCTAGCAATTTATTTATCGCATTGATTTGTTGAGTTTTACATTCATAATTGTGCACCCGCATAAAAACCTCTCACATGTTGTGGTGTAAGAATAAAATTGACCAAGACTATTTATAAGATTATTGTCGTGACCTAAAATTTCTCAGGCTAATGGATTATTAAGACTAAGCCTAACTCGGGCCCTCCCAAGCTCTACCAATTCGCGACTTAGGGTTTAAGTTTTTAATATGCAAAAGTTTTCATACTTGGAGTCGCCACTAATCTATTTGTGGTAGGTCGATTAGAAACCTAAATAAAACATAGGAAGATATGTTTTATTCCTACGAACCAGAGATTCTAAGCTCGGGGACTTGGTTACGCTAGATCTAGTCTAACGCCCTTTCGGTACCTTTTCTTTTCAAAAATATTTATGCAGGCAGTCTGGATCCATTTTATTACCTAATCACTAACATGTGAGGTGTTCATGCTGGTGCGCAAACCACCAATTTAACACCCAAGAAAACAGTAAATAAATTGCAAGATTGGGAGAATGACGTACCTTAAAACAACGCAAGCGTCTGCATTATTAGTAGAAAATCACACAGACAATTCTAATATGATTTCTAATTAACAAAGCAAGGCACTCAAAGTGTTCTTTAGGGTTTGCGCTTTATTAAAATACAAACTAACCTATATGCAATGACGTGCAAAAAATGACATGCAATTAATGCAACCTAGCATGCGAACTATATGTCATGCGACGACGTGACCTAATTCTAATGACAGACAAATGATTTATTTTTGGTATTTTTTTCAATGAAATTCGGAATTAAAAATACTCAAATCAACATGCAATCTATCCTAAAGAAAATGATTTGATCTATCCTAAAGTGATTCTTTTTTTTGGGATTTTTATTAAAATTCGAAATCTAAATATCCTAAATAATCCACAAAGATTAAAACAATTTCTAATTTAAACCAGGAAATATGCTACTCTAAATCCCAATTTAAATCAAATAATTACCTTACTCTCTTGGATATATTTAGGATTCTTTAAGCATGCAAAATTTCTAATTTAAATCTAACTAACAAATTTTTGGATTTTCTTTATTTAAAAAAAAGAGCAATCAAACAAAGATAACAATCACATTCAAACGATCCACGCAATCCGCAATATTCTTCTTATCAAATTCGAATTAGGAAAGAGAATCGAACTAACGGTCATATCTATAGGGTTATAGATATCGACGGAAAGCTGATTGCTCGAATTTGGAAAATAGATAAAATCGATTATCACATCCAAGTAGTTATGGATGAGATAACAATTTCCGTATCACCGCATATCGTACCTTATGGATAAGGTCGGATAGTCATCCAGATACGTTGCCAAATTAGGAATAATTCCTAATTTTGAGTGTTTTAGAATATTGCAGATAGAGCAAACAATATCCTAAGATATCTAAATATCCACACAATATTCACAAAATATTCTAACATCCGAAAATTAAGAAACCAAATATTCTGAAAATATTGAATAACATCCTTACCTAATTTCGAGATATTTCCAAATTTGGACTCGCGGATCGGGATTACAGATCGGGACGAGCGGCGGTGGGACGGACTGCACGGGATCGGCGGTGACCAGGCTTGGCGTCAAGCTTGCGGTGGGTCACAATTGGCTCATCGGCGTCGAAGTGAGGTAAGAAAGCAACAACTCACTGGTCAACACCTTGGGATTCTCTATTCACTGATGAAACTCTCTGTTTTACTTTGGCCATGCAACCCAACACCTTAGCTCACGGTTTTCACTTCCACCTCTCTTGGTTGGATGCCTTTTCTTTGACCACCGAATGACTCTAAGCTGGGATGGACTTACTGGGAGCAACTCAAAACCTGCAACAAAGACAGCGAAAAGGGTAGTCACTGGGGTCTCGCCTGCGTCGATGCGGCGTGGCAGCTGGCTTGCGGACTGGGCACGACGAGGCCTCGCCGGACGAGACGTTGGAGCCGATTTGCTGGACGTTTGCTGGGTTGCTGAGATTTTTCTTTTTTTGGAAGGAACTGGACACTGAGCAGTGGCTAGTGTCGGGACTGCTCTGCAAAATCGAGATCTCGCTTGAAAGTGCTCACTGGAAGTGTCGGCCCTGTTGTGAAGGTGCCGAGGTTGCAACGAGTCGTCGGGTGCATCATATGCAGCTGGTCTTCGGCGTAGGCAGGTAGCGCCAAGACAAAGAAAGCAGGCGTCGCGGTAGTCGTGCAGGTGCTCCGTTGGGCTTCGTCGGCGCCGGTGAGTTGCAAATCGAAGCTCCAAGCGGGAACGCCAAAGTAAGAAGATGACACTCTCCCTTTTCTCACTTTTCTGTATTATCCTCTGCTTTTTTTTCTTTTGGCTTCTCTGTGAGTGCAGAACGTGGAGACCTTTTGCTCTCCACCTTGACCCTCGTGAGTTGAGCCTCCTGCGGAAAGAACAGAAATAATCTCTCTCTCTCTCTCTCTCTGCGATTTTTCTTTCTCGCTTTCCTGTGGCCGTGTGTTCTACTATATGGCCCTCCTTGCTCTCAAAAATTGTGTTCTCTGAAAATTATGAGAGCCCTTTGATTATGACGCATAACGACATATTTATATCGCAACCCTAGGTTAATTAACTGGGCTTCATAATCCTAATGGGCTTAGACTTAGGCTTTATCATTTAATTTTATTTTAATTCCAAATGGGCTAAATTAATTCAGGCTGATTTAAGCTCAAATTAAAACAACCAAAGCCTTTTAGACTTGTGAATTTTGGCCCCCAATTCCTTGAGTGAGCCGAGTGCTCGAGCTTAGTTTACGCGATGAATTTTCAGCTTTCTGGCCACCACCGGTCCGATACGGAATGTAACTAACCTATATGAACTTAAACTATATGCTATGCAATTTTAATATTTTTGTTTAGGGGTTAAAATTTAATCCCTAATTTTCTATGCAAATTGTTATTAAATGGTCGGTCGAAATTTAGGTGTCAACAATTATTTTTGAAATAAAGAGAAAATGTACCTAATTGCAAGAGCATCTCTAATCGATCTGTAATAGATTATTGGCGACTCCAAATTGAATTGATTTGTATGTTTCATTAATTAAATCACAAACTCAAAGTTGCGATTAGTATGGGC